AGATAGAGAAACGAGAAAAAAGGAAGGCAGGGAGGTTAAGATGCTAGTATCCGGTATGCTACCCTACACTGGGGTTGGGGAATAGGGAGTTGAAAGAGAAAGGGAGAGTTAAAAATAAATAAGAGGAAAACACCGACACACACGCACACACAAAATCAGTCCACTAAGAGGCGTTCCGACAGGCCAGTAGTTCGTAAGAAGCCCAGTAGCGCTTGCACGGCTTTTTTCTGTGACGATGAGTCATGACGATGGCGCAGTATACTTTCTTCTGACAGCGGCCGGTCATCTAACCTGTTTAGTTTATTAGAAAGGTGTTGTCTTTCCAGGTTGTATTTCGGGCAGTCACACACAATATGTTGAATTGTTTCTTCATCTCCGCAGTGTGCACAGTCGGCAGTGTCGGCCAACATATGCGGAACGCGTACGCACGGGCAAACGCGACTCCCAACCATAGTCTGCACAGAGCAGTAGCGTCGCCTCGTCGAATTTTTGTTGGAAGCTGCATGCTTAACGTTGGATAAAGGGATCGTAATCTTGCATGCGAAAAGAGAGGCTCATTCCAAAGAGCCATGAATCGTTGGCGAGCAAGCATGCAGAGCCTCCTAGCAGCGTCGGTCCTTGAGAGAGGTATTGACTGGTCGTTGTCTTCTATATGGGCTGAACGGGCAGCTTGATCAGCTCGTTCGTTACCGATAATTTCACAGTGGCTTGGCAATCACTGAAATATAACGTGGTGCCCTTTCTCTGTTATATGGTGTAGCATATCTGCTGTTTCAAATACCAACTGCTCGTGTGGACCACGGCGTAGATTTGACAGAAGTGACTGCAGTGCCATCTTGCAGTCACAGAAAATCGTCCACCGTTGCGTGCATTGGTCCTTAATGAAACGCAGCGCTGCGCGAAGTGCTGCAAGCTCTGCTGCCGTTGTTGTGGTTGCATGAGCTGTCCTGAATTTGATGGTTGTGGCGTGCGTTGTAATAACGACCGCCTCAGTAGAGCTGTTTGGCAGGACAGAGCCGTCGGTGTAGACGTGGGTGCAGTCTTGGTACTTCTCGTACAGCAGAAGTAAGGTGAGCTGCTTGAGGGCTGGTATTGAGAAATCTCGTTTTTTCTAGATCCCTGGTATTGTCAGGTTGATGACTGGCTGTTTGAGGCACCATGGAGGAATTGAAGGTCTCGCCGCGGGCGTAAAACCAGTTAGTAGGGAGTCACCATGTGTAGTTATTGTTCGACAAAAGGAAGTATGAGGTCTATTCACTGGTAGAGAGGCTAGGTGTTGATGGGGAGTCCGGCCCACATGCTTTATGTGTGTCCTCAAAGCTTCAATAGCAATAAGGGTCTGCACGAGGTGGTCTTTGGCTATAGCTATAGTCGTCATTGTTGAGGCACCCTGAGGCAGTCCTATACATATTCGAAGCGCCTGAGTATGAACGCTTTGTATCATGCGTTGACTTGTTTTGCTGGCGTTTGATAATGCAGGCAGACTGTATCGTAAAAAGCCAAGGAAAAGCACCCTGTACAGTCGTAACATAGCATTAGGCTGCATTCCCGAGGTTTTTCCAGCGAGAAACTTGAAAAGATGGCATATTCCTGTCAATCGCTTTTTCAAATACGACACATGAGGGCTCCATGATATGTCTCTGTCGACTATGACACCCAGAAATTTGTGAGATTGACGATATGATATATTTTGACCGTTCATTGACACTCTGTAATTCGACATGGGTTTGCACGTAAATGCCAGAAGGGCGCACTTTCCGGAGAAAATTTCCAGGCCTTGATTGCGTAGATACAAAGCAGTTGCAGTAGCAGCACTCTGTATTCTCGCTCGTAACTGCAGGCGAGTCACCGCAGATGTCCAGATGCAGATGTCATCAGCGTATCTTGATAGATAAATATTGTTTGCTAGGTGCGTATGGAGAGCGATTAGTGTTATATTGAATAGCACGGGGCTCAGTACACCATCCTGAGAGACGCCACGACAACTGAAATGTGTAGACGTGTTCCCGGTCTATGTACTCACAAAATAGGATCGCATTTGGAGATAACTGTGTATCCACTTAAAAATTCGGCCACCCACTCCAATCTCTTCTAGTGTGGTAAGGACGGCTTCATTTGTAACGTTATCACAGGCTCCTTTGACGTCAAGGAACAGAGAGGCGCAAAGACGCTTATGGCCTTTCTCGTGTTCAACGTACGTGATTAGGTCGATGACGCTATCGATCGATGATCGACCCCGTCGAAAGCAAACCATGGCTTTTGGGTAGATCTCACAATACTGCAAGTGCCACTCGAGTCGGTCGAGAATCATTCTCTTCAGCGCCGTCTTTTCTTTCTGTTCTACTCCTTCCCTGTCCTGTATTTTTTCTGGTGTTGCGCTGTAAGAAAGTTCTTGAAGGGCACTTTTGGCTGATGGTGTATTCATGTCGCTTAACAACATGCGAATGGTGTCCACTAATGATCTTAGCATCACCATCACGCGATGACCTGGCTTCCCGGCCGTTGCAGCATTTTGTGCTTGTTCCTGAGGCGGCTTCCGTTGAGGCTAAACAGGTCGTGTAGGCGGCTTCTGCTGAGGTCAACAGATCGTCTAGGCTGAAAGGGTCGCCATTCCTTTGAAGAGAGAGATCTTCCAGCATATTCTCTTTCAGAGCAGATGTTTGCCGTGCTAGGAGCCGCGCCTGTCGATTTCACTTTAGTTTCTGACTTTCTCGTCAGATTTTGCACTGTCCTTCGTGAGGACCTTCGAGGATGACGGCGCCTTCGCCTTACTTTTTGCGCAGCTTCTCTGTGAGTCGAGTTGTCTCGCACCATTTGCCTCAGAATATAAATCTCTTTCTTAATCTGAGGACACTCATTGAGGAAGCTCTGTGAGCTCCTTGGCAGTTGGGGCATTTCAACGTAGTTGCATTATAGTCGTCTTCTCAGTGGTGTTCAGCGCATCGTGGGCACATTGCGGAATTTCCGCAAACGCCCTTCACGTGGCCAATCTTCTGGCACTTGAAACACTGCATAGGCTTCGGAATAAATGGGCGAACCTGGTGACGGAAATGGCCAACCTTCACGTAAGCAGCTCGAAAAATCTACACCAGCTTACCATCCAAATGCCCAACCAGGTAACAATCAAACGTGGTTGACAATACTGCTTGACTGTTTACACACCTCTCTTCTAGCATGAGCTCACATTATACTTCACCTTGTCTCACGTGTTGAATGCTGAACTGCCTTTTTGCTTGCACTTCGCTAACATCGTTTATTGTTTTTTTGTAAATAGGATCGTTCGTCTCAGTGATGTCGAGATTTCAAAATGTTGATAAATGTGACAGCCTCATAAAGCGTCTTGCGAGTGTGGCGAAAAACGAAACACTATCGTAAGTAAAATGATGCAAGAACTATTGTGTTCAACATCATTATCTCATAACGGGGCAAGATTCCCTTGCACTGCATATTTGCGGTGTTAGTGCGATAAAATAAAAAAAATCACTTTTTCTCACATGCAGGGCTCGATGCGTGCAAAGTGCACACTGAGTTTATTTTTGCAGCATTCTTGCAACCAAAACAATTTCAAAAATACTAGAGGGACAGCGTTCGCTTGATTTCAAATGCACACTGAAAATGCCATATCAAATAGATTTTCTCTTTGGTTCTATAGTCAAACGCATGAGAAAACTCCTGTCTTTCATCGGGCCTCTGCTCAGCGGCATTCGCTACAAGATTTTCACAGGAATCGCTAACGAAAAATTAAGTTGTGAACACCATGATCTGTTTCGGTTGAAGCAAGTGATTTCTCTGCCAGACACTCATAAAATGGCTTTAAAAATCGGCGCACTTTCCAATGGAGGCGGCAACGTTGTAGGCCCATGTGCTCAGATTTGGGGGCACGTTAAAGAACTCCAGGTGGTCGAAATTTTCACAGCCACCCACTAAGGCGCCTCTCATAATCAAATTGTGGTTTTGGGACGATAAACCCCACATATCAATCAAAATCTGCACATTGGAACTTCATCGAGTTTGGAGAGGGGCACGAGAGGGAGACTGATTATCCGCGCAGACAGCCTCGGTGCAAAAATATGCTCAGCTACTGACCCAAAGGTCATGAGTTCGATCCCCATCGCGGCCGTAGCATTACGATGGAGGCCAAACGGTAGAGGCCCGTAGACTGCGATATCAGTGCACGTCAAAAATTTCTGAAGCCCGCCACTAAGGCATCTCTCATAAGCATGTGGGGTTTTGGGGGATTAAAACCCCACACAATATTAGATGTTGTATGAATACGCGCAAAACTTGGCCTGTAGGAATATAAAAAAATTACCATGCCCAACCGTGTCATTGCCGGATTGTCAAAAATTGATCAAAACTTTACGACTAGCATTTTGTGTCACATTAAATGGATGGATGGATAGATGAAATTCTGCAAATGAATCGAACAATATAGGTATAGCGCACCAACAAAAATGTACAGCACGCAGCATGGTGCTCTGAGTCTACTGACGCTGTCTCAATAACCAAATGTCTATAGAAAATAGGCGAGCTGGTACAATGTATATTGTTCTACATTATCCGAGTGAGAAGTTTGAATTTCTTCTCGGTGTCAATCATTCTGAAACGACAGAGAATGACGTATAACTGTTTCTGGACAGTGGCGATGCGCAGGGCTATCACGCATTTGAGTGAGACATATCAACCAATATATCAGGCGTAAGCTTCAATATGATCCATCTCCCTCGTTGTTCTCACTTTGTAACGCTTTCCATATTTCGCCTTATTTTGTGCAGTGTAACAATCCGGGCTCTTTACCGCAACGTAGAATGTTCATATGATTGCCACAATATATGTTACTGAACTCCCCCACCTTGCCACGTCGTTCTCAGAACTAAAAAATCAGAACGAAGACAAAATAGAGAGCTACGAGGCGAAGATAACTGCAGCACCACCATTCACGTGACGGGTTTATCTAGCGGTCGGCTCCCTTAAAAGACAGATAAACAGGCCGATTTTTCCGAAGTCTATTGCTCACCCTACTACGTTGAGCACATCTGAGCAGGATGATACGAAGGCTGCTTACACTGGGTGTCTGCATCGGGCTCTTTGGAGCCTCATCGGCATTGATAAGGTGAGACGATACCCGGTCAGAAAGAAGGACATTCCTTGCCAAGATGTTAAGTTGCCACTGGGTGCCCAACGTATTGAAATTAATGCGTCCTTATATTTTTGCTATTCTGTGTATTCCACTTAGAATCCATATTCAGGAAAATTTGACTCTAGTGAGGTTTTCACAGATAATTTTCTAGCAAGAAACGCCAACACTTCATTTCGTTATTCAAAATCCATCTCTGCTGTCGGTAGGAAAGCTGAACATTTTTCTTGTCGGGGTATTAATTGCAGTGGACTTCAGCATGCTTGCGCATCACTATCAGTCTCGCAGCGAATATATTAAAGGTAGTGGTACATATTGTGCAAAATGCCCAAGGTATGCGTGAAGCAGTATAAGTAACGCGACACCTAACTCCATAAATGTGCATTGCTTAGTTCATCAGACCCATTGAAGACACGTACCTATGAATGTGAGGTCTGATAGCTCACCAGTGGTAGGCGATGCACGGCCATTTTGGAGCGCTGCTGAAGCTCTTAATAGGTCATGACTGACACATGTGGTCTATGATGACAGCACATGGACGGGCATAGATGCATAGGCAGAGTAAACCTAGTATTTAACTTTTATATCAGTTCGCAGTAAGAGCTTACTCAATACCTGCGGGAAAATGACATTAGAGGAAGAGAGACGCAGAGAAATGGTCGAGAAAACTGGTAAAGAACTAAACTTACACTGCAAGCGCCTACATCTCCCACATATAATGTAGTCGCATTCTTCGTCTACAAGAAAATGGCATGCGTGAAGAGTAATGGTAATGTAAAATGTGGGAGTGATTGAGTGATGATGGACATCAGCAGTGATGCAGGCACTACGGAATCAGGCCATCGATGAGCTCTACATAAACATACTAGAGTAAATCTACAGCAGATTCACCCCACAGAGTTCTCCATAAAGAAAACGATATAATCCAAATATAGAAAGGTGTAAGGCAGGGACATACTATCCCTACAGTTCTATTCCCCGCATGTGTACAGAAGGCTGTCAGGGCCCTAGATTTGGAAGAGTTAGAGATAAAAGTTATTGGAGAGTATTTTAGTAACCTGTGATTCAATGATGACTTTGCATTGATGGGTAACTAAGGGGACGAATCACAGCTCATGATTACTGAAATGGAAACGGAAAGCAGAAGAGCAATTATCAAAATGAATATGCATAAGACTTAGGTGATGCGCAACAGTCTCGAAAGAAAACAGCGATTGGCGATGTGTGATGAGACGCTGGAAGTTGTAAAGGATTATGCCTACTTAGGACAGGTAGTCACCACGGAGCCTAATTATGAGAGGGAAATAACCAAAAGAATAAGGACGGGGTTGATTACATTTAGCAAGCATTCGCAAATCATGTATGGTAATCTATTACTAACCTTGAAGAGGAAGGTGTATAACAGCTGTATCGTGCCGGTACATCGCTGCGGAGAAAAAATCTGGACGGTTGTAACGATAGTTCAGCTTAGATTCAGCACGACGCAGCGAGCGATGCAAAGGAAAATGTTAAGCATAACCTTAGGAAACAAGAAGAGTGCAGAGTGGGTCAGGGAACAAACTGGGGTTAGGGATATCATAGTTCAAACAAAGAAGAAATGGACACTGGCCAGGCACGCAACGCGTAAGCAGGATAACCACTGGTCGTCTAGGGTCACTGACTAAATTCCCCGAGAAGGCAAAACGCACGAGGGGCAGACAAAAAGTTAGGTTGGCCGACGAGATTAAAAAGTTCGCAGCATAACGTGGCAGCAGAAAGTACAAGACCAGGTTGATTCATGGATCACGGGAGAGGCTATTTTTTTCTGCAATGGGCATAGTGAGGCTGTTGATGATGATGAAGGCGATGATGGTTGTATAGCGTTAAACTGTGTCCAAGTTCCCCAGGTTGACATCAGTTGAGAGCGGTTGCTTAGTTGCCATACGGCCTAATGATACGCGAAAAAATAAGAGAAAGAATTTTTTGACAACAAATTGAAGTGGAACTGTGCAAGTGAGAGGCCTCTTTTTTCTTCTGTATTGCAGTTCTAACGTAACAAGTATTCATTGGCAAGCACTCAGCAGATCCAACATATCCGAGTATGTTGCACAGCCAGAGTGTATGAGCACATAGGCTAAATACTCCACCAAGCAAGCGGTTGACCTGGTTTAAATGCAATGTAATACCTAAAAGCAATCATATCGTTCATACTCCGGAAAAAGCACAGTGGTTGCTGACACGCTACGTGAAGCAAAATGCCCCCCAGTGTTCTCAGCATTTCATGCTGTTCGTAGCACTGTCAGTAGCACTGCTCAATGATCAACACGAGTCACACCATTCCAAAATCATGTGCTTTATTGTGTGCCCCAACGAAATGAGACATCCGGCAGGAGCAGTAAAAATCGTTATCCTGCTATCTAGACAATAACAGTGAACCACAACATCGAATAAACCTTGATAATTTTCATGCTTTTGAAATGAGTTTTTTGCTTCGTTCAACGCTGATGCAATTTCGATAAAACAAATCCCTAACACTCATTATTTAAACCGTCTAAGAGTAGTAGAACAAGTAATTCACTGGCTATATGATCCACGCAGTAGTGTCTAGTCTTTATGGTGATCATTGGCTAAGCCGAAAGTCCGGGAATCGAATTCTGAGAATTCCGACCGAATTTTCAGTGTAGGCGATAAGGCTCAAGGCCCACATTCTTACATTTAGGCGCACAGCAAAGAACCACACGTGGTAGAAGTTTCCGCAGCCCTCCGCAGCGTTGTCTCTCAAAACGATATGGTAGGTTTGGGAAGTTATACCCCAAAAACTATATTAACACTGACAAAACGGTAGCCATTCCGTGGATGTTTTGTCACTCATAAATAATATCCTCTACTTTCCTGCAAGCTAATGACGGTGAAGAATGGCGATTTGGGCTAGTTGGTTTGAATTCATAGTAATAAGGGCTGCAGCGCGTGTTGTCCTCTTTTGCCTTCCGTACCTCGACTTTGTCTGTTTCTTCTAGCACATTCGTGCTCGCGCTGCAGCCCTTATTACTATGAATAATGACGGTGATTACAGTAAATGAAACATGACTCAGAAGAGTAGCGCAGAGAAGCAAACAGACGGCGACCAACCAAGACGGGACACTGCGCTATCTGGCGCTGTGTCCTAACTTGATCTGCCGCCGTGCGTGTGCTTCTTCGCGCTGCTGTTCTGAATTATTCGCTAGCAATCAGTCCCTGAGTCTATTCTTTTAAAACGCGACTCCCTCAACATTTTTGCAGGGTCCCGCTGCACAAGATGAAAAGCATCAGGCAACAGCACCAAGAATTCGGTTGGCCACTAGACTTCACTCATGATTGGTCGTTGAGCCCTGCTAACGGACCCATTCCGGAGCCCCTCAAGAACTACATCGATGTGAGTTCCGAAACGTAACCAGGTGACATATTAAAGTTCATGTACGTTTGCAAAAGAACGCGGAAAAAACAACGCCCACTTCAAGGGTCATGATTATTTTCTGCGGTGATTCGTGTTAGACAAGATTGGTCGCACTGTCGTGGTTACGCTCTATGCATTGTAACCACAAACAACACTTTATCGCGTGGTTACAAGAGATACGATAACCTTTCATTAAACCGGTGCAACTGCACCGAAAAGACGCGCCTACCCCCCCCCCCCCCCCGCCCACAAAAAAAAGCAATGCGGGTAAGTCATAGGAGTGAAAAGTCACAAAGCGAAATAAAATATGTATAACTATTGCAAAAAAAGCAGCCTTGAAAGCACTCAAAGTTAATTTCCACCCAAAGCTAGGAGGTGCTTCCATTCTTTGAAGTTCTTGAAAAAAGTAGTTCGGGAAAGTGTAAGTCTTACAGAACGAAATATCGCAACCTTGTGTCAGTGGTCAATTTGCAATGTCACATTGTGACATTGCGCGTTCATCAATACGCAGTGCGCAGTACAGCACACGTAGTCACAGCGAAAGCTGGAAGAATAACAAGCTTAATTTCAGGGAAGGGAAAGAGGAATTAAAGAGGAAACACTAAACGTACTACCAGTCCCACAGTTGTATAAATATTTTCTTTGAACAATAAATTTCCGGGAAAAAAACACACTTATACCACCTTCTAAAACAAATATAAAACAAAACAAGTGCCATAAGACTTGAGTGCTATTTCACTGACTGGACCAAGACCAAGGATCAGCTACAGTACTGATACTATAGATTATGAAATACTTTTGTTGGGCAATCCATACCCATCCCTAATCAAACTTGTCAATTAAAACTCATGTATGTCTTAAAATATTCCTAATGTTTCTTTCAAATTTATAACTGTTTTTTCAGTGATGTCTCATAAAATGCTTATAATTACCTTCCACTTTATGTTTAACGTGCTCCATCTGCAAAGATTGTTATTTGCACTGGTATAGTTTGTTTCAATTATTGCCCAATTTTGTGTCAAAGTGTCCTTTTTTATTTTTGACCTTCTTTGCATACTGCGCAATCAGCAGTGAATTTTTTTACAATGCACCTGATTTCACTGGTTTTGCCCCTGCTGTCAGACATGTAAGCCCGGTGTAAAGGCCTCGTCAGGTGACATGCAGGTCTCATTTTAGGGCTAAGCTCCTTAGGGTGTGCGTCTGTCCATCCTCCGTTGGTGTATGTAGCCACCGGTGGCACATACCCGAAACAGCGGTCCCTGGAATGTCCGCTGGATGGCGCCAGTTTTATATGATGAATACATGATGAAAAGATGTGAGATGGCTGTACTTGGAGTGTTCACTAGAGAGACGTTCGGACCGACATACGTACGAATCGACATACAGATGGACGGACGGACTGACGAACGGACAGACAGAGGGAGTCTGAGGGACGGCCGCACGGACGGACGGGTGGCCAGACGGAAGAACGGATATATGGACGGACGCATGGAGGTACACGCAGATGGACGGACGCACCGAAGGTCACACGGATGGATGGACGCATGGACGGACGGAAGCAAGAACGAATGGGCGGACGAAAGCACTGACGGACTGATGAAGGCTTCGCCCCACCAGTCATCATTTACTCTGTGGATATGCTGTGATTTTTTGTTTGCCTTGTACACAAATTTCACACTGTGAATTGTGCATATATATGTCAAATGAACAAAGTGAAATTGAAACTGGACCAGTGCAGCTCTTGATTCAGGGCTCCACTGGTTTTCAACAACCGGAGGACGTGATCTAAAATCGCGAATGACATTCCCGGGTCTAAGCTATAGCGAAATGAGCACCCCTTTATAGTTGATAGACTATGACCCCCCCCCCCTCCTGCTTTCTGTAGTCTATTCTATCATTTAGAAAGTTATCTAAACCTGCTGTTTTTTTTCACGCCCCCATTATGTGTGAAAGGCGTTGAGCACCCTACCCTAATTGAGCCATTTTAAACACTCCTTGGCCAGCTAATGCCGTACACTTTGTTCGATGGCAGCTATTATGCGATAAAACATCATAATATCTGTGAACGAAGCATCATTTTCAGATTATTCCATCTTCGGAGAAGCGTGGAACCCGCTACACACCTATAGGGCACGTGCAGTTTCTTGATGCTGTGGGTAATAACGATGAAGAATTGAGGGTGGATTAAGGGTGAAAGAACTTCGTTAAAGTGTAATACGTTGTACTAGTGTCCAAGCTGAAAACGGGCTGCTCCCGCGCTGCAACCGAGATATCTTGCCTTCCAGCCACTTTGCGGGCCCATTGAACTGCCCTTAACCGCCCCCAAAAAGGCGCACTGAGCACAGCTGTGTCCCACCATTCCTCAGTTTTTTCTTTGTAGCTGCGTAACGCGGGGCCACGCCAGCGCGTATTACAGAGATCTATTGTGTCGTGACATTTGTCGCATGTTGTAAGAATACAAAACTACAGAAGAATATTGTTAAGTAACATTGCGTTTGGGTAGGCTCTTGTTTGTAAGGGTCTTAGCGTAATTTCCTGAGTTCTGTTTAGTTTACTGTGTGGAGCGGAGGTCTACGTCCAGGAATGAATTATTATGGCAACATTTCGTGATGGGTTGGAAAAAATGAACGACTCACTCGTTACGCAATTGGGATTGTGTGACTCCTAGCTGTTATCTTAATTTTTTAAAATGCTCTATTAAACTTAAATTGATTGTAAACTTCAATTTATAGAAAACATGAAGCCTGCAAAAGTTGAATTTGCAAAGCCTTTCCAAGAAGTGGCGTAGATCTCTATTATTGCGATAGCATTTATATGGGCACTCTCAGCTGAATTTCGCCGCCAACGTCAACGTCGATGTCATGTACCGTATATGTATACGTAACGATATATGTAAATACAAGACAGAAAAAAGTCCAGAAAAAGAACCTGGCGCGTGGAATCGAACGTGCAATCTCCGAGTCGTGTATGTGAGGCGTTAACCACTGAGCTACGGGGAAGCACGTGTTTCCGCGGTCAAAAGGCAAGCTATATATGTCTACCATTTACCACGTGTGAGTGGCACCTCGGAAGGGAACTATCGTGTTTTCAGCCTTACCAGCAAGATGGCCCAGTGAGCCCGCTGCGGTGCGTGCCCTTATATCCCACGCGTACTTTGCCTCGCGGAGAGGAGTAGGTGGTTGTAAAGCCCCTGAACGCCCACGCGCCCTTATCTCTTGGTTGGGAGCATCTTCTGTCTTGGCTGTCCTGAAGTTTTCACTGCAACAATGCTGTTGTGGTTATCGGGCGCACAAAGGTCACTGCCATTGTGCAGTCTCCGTTAGCAAAAAGAGCGCGCTTTTCTGACACAGTGAAGTAAGAATTGACACGCTTATTTGGGTTCATCTGTACCTGTGAGTACGTTTCGTGCGTTATCTGTGCATTAGAAACGTGGTGCACGTTTCGATCTGCTTGCCATTCTGCACGTGACCTTCCAATTTGTTGCTATCGCATTCATTGCTTCGCCTTTGTGGCAAAGCTGTGACTTTTTTCCCACTCTCTACAGAGTAGCAGAACAAATAGGAACCTAAGCATAGGGCCTGGGTTAGAAAGACATTACCTCTGAAATATTTTTTATTTATTTTGATACTCTGTCTTCTTTTGGAGATGAACGTCAGTAGCGGCCACGACGAGAGACTACGGCGCAAAAAAATGGCAGCTGTGATCTCATAACAGCTATCACTGTAAAATGGACGGATACAAGACATACCCACACTTCTTTCTGAAGCTTTATTTCATCGCCTTACACCCAGTTGATCGCCTTACACCTCTCATCACCACTTCTTCTTATTGCACTCGGTAAGTGCTATAGCTGTTGTCCATGCACAGGCGTTCAAAGAGCGTTCATCTGAGTTTAAAGAACTGTTTAAAATATTTCTTCGAAACATTATAAGTACAATGCTGCCTTTTATGTTTATTGCTTGCGCTGGGTTTGCAATCAACCCCAGTCAACTGTCCGAAAGCGTTCCCAAAAGTACACTTCAAATTTATCATTGAATTCTTCTAGCATGCGTACAGCGATTGCTTATTTTAGGGCCAACGTTTAAAACAACGGTGAACGCTTCGTCTCAGAAAACACGCTCACCTATCCTGGAGCTCTGTCTGTCCTTGAATTCCTTAATCCGTAGGTTCTAATGCCATACTTCAGAAGAACGCATTTTTCCCTGGCTGCCCTAACTTAATCCTGCAAACTTTCTATCAGCGCCCCGATCGGACGACACCTTTGTGATTCGCTTCCGTGGCATTGCGAATTCATGCTTCCTATAGTCGCATTTGGCACCGATACTTTTGGGTGGTGGGGGTGAGCGGGGAAAAAAGGTGATTCATTATAGAGGTATACCCATCAACATACTTCTACAAAGGAAACGACACGTACACAAAAAGGGAACTGTTCATTCACTTCACGAGGGCTTGAAGGCATCATTTGCCAGCGTGATACATGTCAGCAAACACGCGCAATTGCTTTCCTGGGGCTAATCTAGAGGTCTCCAGGAAGTGGCATCGGTAAATTTTCTGGAGCAAATGTGAAACAAAGCAAAAAATAATGAATTTAGGATCATTGGCTGCTCGTAGCGAGGGGGGTGGCAGCCGGCTACTTGGACGAGAGCAGCAAAGCACGACACAGCGGCGTGTCCTTTCTTTCTGACCTCGTCCAAGAAGTTGGCAAAAACCCCATCGCAAAGAAAGGAACTGCTCTTCACAGAATGTTTAATAGAAAACTAGAACTCAGTGTTCCTTGAAGCTCGAATAGCCAGGTTTCGCTGATGTGGTTAGGTAATACAGCTTATTGTTACACAAAGTATAGAACGAGAAAGAATAAGCTGACGTTGAAGCACTAAAAGTGCGGCCTAAAAAAGTGGAGCTATAAGTTTACAAGGAAAACACGTAAATTATGCAATACAGTGGCTAGCTATACTGAAAGACTCGGCATGCTTTGCACA